AGATATATGCATGTATATGTGTGTGTTTATTTGTGTGTATGTAACATTTCATTCAGAACTTTCTATCTTTTCATTGTAAAAAAGCATGTATGCCTTCTGGGCCCAAAATTGGAAAATAAAATTATCTTATCTGTAGATTAGGTACTTGTACGAATCAGCCGAGGTGTTGCCGAGGTTAGAACGACAGTGCAAAACAAAGGGGAAAAGAATACATACATGCTGTAAAGCTTGCATGCAATAAAGATCAATTCTGTCAACAATGAAAATATAGAAACGGTTGGGTTTTTTTTTTTTGGTAATTGCTATAAAAAAAACTAGCATGTTAATTACTGCCAAATTCCACTGTTCGTTTTGTCATATTTTTTACGATTGAAAATCTTGAAAAATTGTTAAGTCGTACGAAAATTAGAGCATCAGAAAATTATCTCCCTTGTCTTGAACAGCATTTCAACCAATGAAATAATTGAAAATTTTCTCATCATGCAATTTCTACCAATCACAAAAGAGATGAAGTGCATAGTCCGAAGACTGTAAAATACTTCAACTCTGTATACCGTCTTCCAAGGAAGACGATACTTAATAAAGTTCCATCGATGGCGTTGGGAAGCTTATGATAACTAAAATGAAAACATCAAAATTTTAATGCCCCCCCCCCCCAAGCTCACAGGTAATTTGAAACATCAAAGTGATGATTAATTAGGACAAACAATCTCCGAAAATTATGTTTATTTCGTTGGTAAAAAATTGTCGTATCCATGCTCCGAAGCAGCTTTAAAGTAATGAAGAATTAGGGCATGCAAGCTCCGAAAATTACGTATATTTACTTGGTTAAAAATTGGCGTATCCAAGCTCCGAAGCAGCTTCAAAGTGATGAAGAATTCAAGAAAGCTTGTATTGGAAACAAATAATTTAACATGGTTTCTATATAAGGAAGAAATGACAGAATTTGGCATCAGTTTCATCATGACTGACTTGTGCATTGTATGCAATCTTCATCTCCGACAGCGCCAAGAGGTTTTATGTTGCATTTTCTGCCAAGGAAAACAACATAGGACATGTAACTCAGGTTAGAAAAAAATATATTAAAAACATTATATCAATCGTATCTTCTCTTTTATTTTAAGCGCAACTAGAGCCATAAATGCAAATATTGATAAACTTAACTTAAAACATATTTCTTTTTCAGGCATCTCACGTGAGGAGTATCGGCGGATGAGAAGCCAAGGACAAGTTGTGTTTCAGTGTCTGGAGTGCGTAGAGCCCACAATCCCCTACTCTGAAGTCACCAGGGCCAGCGAACTCCCATCACGTCTTCTCCTACAGCCCGAGAGCACAGGAATAATAGAGGAGTCCATCAACATCCCCATCGTTTCCCATGCCGAGCCACACCATCCAGATGAGGAATCACTCACCGACCAGACTTCACCTCAGGAACTGTCTACCAAAGAAGCCGTCATCACCTTCCACGTCACCGAGAATACCTCACAACGCGGGAAGAGGAAACTTGTGTCCAGCGATGGATTTTCCTATGTGGTAAAGAAGGAGAACAAGTTGCTGTCCTTTAAACAAGAGGCCAAAGGGCCTTAACGGTCACCTGAGTATAATACAACAATTTAGAGGATCCATAGAGTATAAAATGAACTGAAAAGTGAAGCTTTGTTGCCCAAAAGCAAGAAAAATAGGATGATCATGATCAACAAAATAATTGGTCTTAATATTCATTAACAGTTCATAAATTAGGTTCTAATCTGTTCCCCATTTATCACTATCACCATACAGTATATAAACAAATTATCAATGCTTCTGTACTATTTTAATCCCTTGTTGAAATCCCTTACATTGGCCTCTCTTGGTCCTTGATGAACATTTAATAAGACAAGTTATTTTTGTCTCATTTTTATTTATCTACTACTTACAAGTCTGTCTGATCATTAAAACTATAAAAGTACTTTTTGTATTATACAATTAAAGTTTTTGCATAATTCTCTTATTCTATTTACCTTTCAAGTACATTATTTACAGTGATAAATTATCAAAAGTAAATGGCAAAGGGAATAACTCCTCTCAGTAGAATACAAACTAATAGAGCCCTGGCCAGGACCAGAACACTTGACCACTCTGTTTGCCTCAGATATGCCCAGGTGCGGAGAAGATTTTTAAAGAAATAATACATTCTTACTACAGATTCACTATATTAACAATAGCCCCCCCCCCCCCCCACAACACCGGAGCTTCTGACCCTGGGACCATAAGTTTGCTCATCATAACTAATCACTTTGTTTAACACTAAGGAGCAAACAAGATTTTTGAATAGAATTAATGCATTTTCACTATATTATCAAGAGCCCCACCATCACATCTGACCCAGGGGTCATGAAATTCACTACTCTGGAAAAAGCACTCTTGCTCATCATAACTATACACTTAGTTTCTTTGCTTTTTTAACCAGAAGCAGAAAGGAATATTTTCATAGAAATTTTGCTTTTTCACTTTATAATCAATAGAAGCCCCCCCCCCCCCGCCTTCACCAGAACCCTTAAACCTGGGGTCATAAACTTCACAATTTTGGAAGAGGCATCCTTGCGTATCATAACAATGTACTCAGTTTGTTTAAACAATACCCAGGGGCAGAGAAGAAGATTTTCAAAGAAATAATTCACCTTCACTATAGGATCTATATAGCCCCGCCCTAGCACCAGAACTCCTGTCCCCGGGGCCATGAATTTCACAATCTTGGAAGAGGCATCCTTGCTTATCATAACAATGTACTTAGTTTGTTTAAATGATACCGAGGAGTAGAGAAGAAGATTTTTAAAGAATTAATGCATTTTCACTATGTAATCAATAGAGCCCCGCCCTAACACCAGAACCTGCCCCTGGGGTCATGAAATTCACAATTTTGGAAGAGGCACTCTTACTCATTATAACTATGTATTTAGTTACTGTATTTAATGCCCAGGAGCAGAGAAGAAGATTTTCAATGAATTAATGCATTTTCACTATATAATCAATAAAGCCCCGCCCTAACACCAGAACCCATGCCCCTGGGGCCATGAAATTCACAATTTTGGAAGAGGCACTCTTGCTCATCACAACTTCATACTTAGTTACTGTATTTAATACCCTGGAGCAGAGAAGAAAATTTTCAAAGAATTAATGCATTTTCACTATATAATCAATAAAGTCCCGCCCTTACACCAGAAACCCTGCCCCTGGGGCCATGAAATTCACAATTTTGGAAGAGGCACTCTTGCTCATCATAACTTCGTACTTAGTTACTTTATTTAATACCCAGGAGCAGACAAGAAGATTTTCAAAGAAATAATGCATTTTCACTATATAATCAATAGAGCCCCGCCCTAACACCAGATACCCTGACCCAGGGGCCATGAAATTCACAATTTTGAAAGAGGAACTCTTACTCATCATAACTATATACTTAGTTAGTTTATTTAATACCCAGGAGCAGACAAGAAGATTTTCAAAGAAATAATGCACTTTCACTATATGATCTATATAGCCCCGCCCTAGCACCAGAACCCCTGACCCTGGGGCCATGAATTTCACAATTTTGGTAGAGGGCTCAATGCTTATTACAATCATGCCAACAGTTTGACTGCTTGATGCCCAGGAGTAAAGAAGAAGATTTTTAAAGATTGCATTAATTTTGGTGGTTTTAGCCCCTCCCCTCAGGCCCCAGGGGGGCAGGGACCATGAAATTCACAATTTTGTTCCCCTTCACCCATAGATGCTATATGCCAAATTTGGTTGAAATTGGTTGAGCGGTTTTAGAGAAGAAGCTAAAAATGTTCAAATGTTAACGCACATCGCACGACGCACGCCGACGGACAAAAACGGATAGCAATAGGTCACCTGAGTGACTCAGGTGACATAAAAAGGACTGCAATACATGGACCATATGCATGTGTTTCTACACGAAATTCAAAGAAAATTTCTAGATTTAGTGATTTTACAAAGATGTAATTAAATTTAATTTCTTTTTTTACATGCATCTTGTAATTTTCATCGTTATTTAAATCTGCTTATAAGGATGTAATGATAAAAAAAAAATCATGACCTTGAAATGATGTGAATATGAAATGTTGATGTAGGTATCTTTCACAATTGTAAACACTGGTAATGTAGCCTTTAAAATTAACAACAGAATTAAAAGAGGCCTAAGCGTGCAGGTGTCGTAATGGTTGAATTTTAACTCCGTTGGCGGATCCAGGAAAGGGGGGTGGGTTCGGATGTTGGAACCCCATTTAATTTTGCAGAAAGAGGAAGAGAGAGAGAGTGTTTTTTTTTTCCTGTAATGTAGATATTTTTACGTCTAGTATTTTTAAAATAAGCACTTCAATCTCTGCCCTTTTTGCTCTTTAGATAGAGTTTTGCTTATTGCTTTCCTCCTTGTACTTTCACAACCCCGGCCCGGGCCTCGACCACCCTCACGTAACATAAAAGATTTCACTTTGATTTCATCGGAAGATTCCGGCGAACATACATAGCCATTTTGGACCATCTTTTAAAGTAATTAACTTTAAGAAGTATGCTTAAAAAGTCATAAAAGGAAGTATTCATAAGAGAATATTTTTCTCCTTATATTTTGGGGATATTTTAATCAATAAATAGAAAAGTTCAAAATGTCCCTGTAGTATGTTGGGGTGGGGGGCTCACTTTTTCTTAAAAAAATAAGCTTTTGTTATAATTTGAATATATAAGTTTTGATTTGCATTGGAAGCTCCCCGCACTTTTTGTTGCGGGAAGGTTCAAAATACGGACAATCAAACATTTAAAAGAAATCAAAATGTACCAAAAACTTTAGACGAAGCCCCCCCCCTCCCCCCCCAAATAGGATTTTACAGTGTGGTGCACAGGTTGTTATTTTAATTTATTTATTTATTGTTGCTTGTCAACTCTTTTTGGAGGTTGTCCCCTTTGAAAACCGTTGATACGGGCTTAAATATAAGTACCTGCAGTGTGACCTAGACCGTCAATACGTCATGCTCAGCCACCGTAAATCAAGATGGGGACACCTTCATCACCAACAGTAAAGAACACACCCACGCCTCCAAACCCGGGATACTGACGGCAGTGCAGATGACACAGAGGATCATCAAGACAGTGAAAGACGCCCTGTTTGTACCGGCACCAACTATCGTGGAGAGAGTGATGGAGGAGATGGCAGATCCAAGGGAACCGGAATTCGCTCGTCCGAAGTTCAACAATGCCGTGAGGGCAGCCAATTAAGAAACGAAGACAAGCTGATCGACCAGAGGAACCCAAGGACATGAACTTCGAGGTATGATTAATTTTATTTAAAAATTAAGGATTTTTTTTGGTGAACTTAATATTTTTTTCTAAAAATTAATCTATAAAAAGGTCTAAATATTGCGCTATTTTTTAAGATTTAAGAATAATACCACATGATAGCATTAATTTGTACTTAAATAATAAGTACAATTTACAAAATTATTTTTAAAATCTCTGAATAATGCATTTTTTGTTTTTAGATTGACTTGGACTTCCTGGAACGCCATACTTCGTCGGATTTCTACAGAGGAGACGTCATCGTTGGAGATCATCGACACCTCATCTTCGCATCAGACCAACAACTGCAACACCTTGCTTCAGCAAAGACGTGGTACATCGATGGAACCTTCAAGATTGTTTCCAAGCCTTTTGTGCAGCTGTTATCGATCCACTTCTTTGCCAGATCCGGAGACAACATGAAACAGCTTCCAGGGATCTACGTCCTCATGCCAAGGAAAAGGACGAAGGACTACAAGCAGGTATAAAAACCCTTCTTAAATAAGAAAAAATAATTATTATATTTTTATTTCAAAAATATATATTTTATTTAATATAAATGTTGTTTTGCTTTCAGGTGTTTGCCAGAATTTTGGAGCTGCTGCCATCGCTCCCTGTCACCTAGTTGTTAGTTTCAGACTTCGAGGAGGGAATGTGGAGAGCTGCGAAGTCTATGTTGCGTGGCATCCGGATACACGGTTGTGCTTTTCACTGGGGACAAGCAGTATGGCGTCATGTTCAGGAGATTAGATTACAGGTATACTTATTTATGTATTATATTACAATGAATGATTTTCAGAGTGTACTTAAGTTAACTTTAATTTTAGAATGATAAAGAATGTTGTAATATTTGATAAATAAATATACTAAGTTTGAAATATACAATGTGTATGGAAACGTACATAAATATAAATATTAATTTTTTTTTTTGCAGATGGACTACAGCCAGCAGGATGGTGTATTCAAATTTGTTAGGAAGCTGCTTGCCCTGCCATTTCTGCCAGAAGAACAGATTCCTGTCGCGTTCAACACACTGAAGGAGACCGTCACCAGCGACCGACTGATACAGCTGACCAACTACAAAGAGAGGACCTGGATCAACGGCGACATCTGGACACCATCATCGTGGACCGTCTACCGTATGACTGTGAGGACAAACAACGACGTCGAAGGATGGCACCACCGCATCAACAGGAGAGCCCAGAAGTCCAACCTGCAGTTCTATGTGCTTGTGATTCTTCTCTTCAAGGAAACCGCCTGCATCCCGAACCAACTTAAGATGATCAGCGAGGAAAACTCCGGAGATACCAACGAAAGACTACAAGACTTCTACAGTGCCGCATCAACCAACTCTGGGACAACTACAACGATTGATCCATCAGTGCCAGCAAACTTCTGAAGAAATGTGGACAGATCTACAACGGACAGTGAGTGAAGAAGAAAAACGTGCTGAAATGTAAATAATGATGTGTGATGAAAGTGTGAAAATAACTGTGAATTGAACGAAGATATAGTGATGAAAATAAATATTAGTTTTTATATTACATGTATATATGCTTTATTTTCAATAAAGTTTAGAAAATTTATTTTCGGTTGTTTGTTATATTTTGTAAAAGGGGAATACAATTTTTTAAGTGAAACTGACATCAGGAAGATTTTAAATTAAAAAAAAAAATTAAAATTAAAATATATATAGATAGATAGATATATAGATATAGATAGATAGATAAAAAAAATATAATTGACTTGTGTTGCTTTCTTAAAACTGGGGGCAAGTTGTCTTAACTGGGGGGCGAGTTGTCCTCAATTGGGGGCGAGTTGTCCTAAATAGGTGGCGAGTTGTCTTAACTGCATGGGGGGGGGGGGGGGGGGGGAGTTGTCCTCAATAGGTGGCGAGTTGTCCAGCATTCAGAGGAGAAGTTTCATATATAAAAATGAAAATTCTGACAAAATGTTCCCTTTAAAACTGGTACGTGACCGTTTCAGTAAGTTTGTCCGAAATTGTTATAGGAGATACTTTCGACAATCTTTATGTAACTCTACAAAAATAAAAGCAAACAGAAAACCAAATTGTGACCAGGTGACGTTTTGTTACCCCGACGAAATACGCTGTACATTCGTTTATTTCTAATCTTTTTAGCACTACAAACATTCATGCTACTATAAAATAATTATGGACTCGATTTTGTGCTTTAATACCGGTAAATCAGGAGTAAAATGTAAATTGCTTTCAATATTATATACATTCTACATAACTGAAATTTTCAAATCGGAACTTATTATCCCCTGGCAACGGAGTTGGAGGGGATATAGTAACGCAACTGTGTGTTTGTGGGTGGGTTAGTGTGTCCTGTGCGATACGGATGTGCCGTAATTTGCACCTGATCGAATGTTGCTTTGATAAATGTATATTTTTAATTTATTCATTAGAATTAATTAGAAACATCAGGGTTAGTGATCTGACAATTAATTTAGACATGAAGAGCACTTTAAACGAATACCAAGCAACACGCCTACCCACAAAACTGCAGCCGAGAACAGATAAAGCCTAAAATTGTCTGTTCGAAGATATTGATAGTAATATTTAAGAAGAAGGTGCAAAATCATAACATTTCATACTAATGCTGAGAGAATCCTTCCACTGATCAAAACTTTAGCGATTTTTTTATTTCGACAACATTGGTCACATTAGTGGAGCCCTAGTGGTATGGAGGGATGTGCCTACTAGTCCATGGATAGCATTGCGCCAAATCCGACTATAACTATTGAAATGTATGATCAGACTGCCCCAAATTCGTTGATATAAACCTTACTCTGTTTCAACAGAAACTATTCGGGTACAGGGTCACAATTATAGCATCTTTGTAGAGAAGCATTTTTCGCAGCTATTACAAATTTTGGATGTAGTCCTGGCTGAAGTTGATGATGAAAAGTCACAAACATCAGTTAAAACAATAATAAAAATAATAATAAATCAATGAAAAAGTAATGATTTAACAAGAGCAGAAACCAGTTTTGTCAGTGTTATTGAAAACTTTCCAATGTGCAGACAAACATTCTCTCTAATCACTCAGAGTAGCCTACATGAAGCGACAGTACGAATTGAACAAGTCCTCAATAAACTGGTCATTAACCAAGACAAACTGTCTTCAGACCTACAAGAAATATAAGATAAAGTCAATCCGATATCAGGATATCAGATAAGATTAATGACCAACAGTCATACACACTAGAAATGCAAAGCAAGGTAGAATTCCTTATTTAAAAAAGTCAAGAATAAGTTACAACTACATCCGTTACAGCACCAAAAAGCACTTAAGATACCAATTCCGATCCACTAGTGCTACTAACCTACTTACAGTTCTACTTATTGGAACTTCCAACATTAAAAATATCAAAGAAGACAAACTTAAAGCATTTTCCAATATAACCAAACAAATCCAATACACACTGGATAATACTTACCGGTATACTGCATTAAGCGTTGAGGTGATGATGCCAGATCTTGTGCTACCTCACTCATTTACTAACGACATCAAGAAATATGAATTTGTTTTTAAAAGCAATACATTTTGTTTATTGAACAAGATCTATTAAATTTGAAGTTGAATATATATTTGTATTTAAAAAAAAATCTTTGCAAAAGATAGTAGGTACAAGAACTAATATCGTTTTCATCGGCTCTACAGGAGTCGACAAGATGCAAAACATCAAAAAAAATTTAAATCATATAATTCATAGAGGCATTTACCGGTATCTTTCAAGTTAAACAGTTTCATCAGTGTTTAAAGTACAACGTGTTTAGATATATTCCATAACCGAGCCAAGTTTGGCTATGGGCAGGAAAATCTTGGGAGTAAATGCATTCAGGATATTGACGTTTGTAGATACAGAACAATCACTTATGAATCGAATTTCGTTATTACGTTGAATATGCTTTATATGTTTGATGATCCGACTGCGGTTAATCTTAATTTGTACCACAGGGTTCATTCAATCAATAACCAAATCCGACAGATTTTTAATGCATAATTATTTTTTTCTGTCTGAGCCGTTGGCATTCATTGCACAGGCTTTTGCGTAAATTTGCATTTTACGTTAATTTTCTTGTAATTTTAAAATGCTTAGATTTCATAGCTACTTTATTCCGTTTTTGATTTTTCTAAATCAAAAATATTTGTTTAAAACATTGTTCCACGGTGACGCCATTGCAAAAATTCCCTTGATCAAAGATTTCGGCTACCTATCCATTTTTACGAAAGTTTTAGTAAAAATAAATAAATAAAAATACGTCACACCTATAAGATATAATAATATATATATATTATGTATTTTTTATTTACTGAACATCGATAGGTATGCCGAATCTTCTGACGTGAAGTGTGATGTATTCAATTAACATTTCCAGGCAATAAAATTATTTAAAATCGAAAAAGCATTTTGTTAGGATCAACACAGAGTTCAAGGTGTAGTTATATATGGGGAAAATCAGATAAAGGTTAGGATTCTTCCACGATATAAAAACAATTTTCGCGTTAAGGTATACCAGTATATATTTTCCTCTTTTGACTCGTGCATTCTACACAACGGTGATAATTGACAAAGGGAACATGGCTATATTAAAGCAAAATATATTCTCATGCAGATGCAAGTTAAAAAGAATATTGCATATCTAATTTTATCAGCAATTATTATAAATGTAAATTAAAAAAAAAGATAAAGAAATCAATTCTTATTTTTCAGTAAATACAACTTTACATCATGACTTACACAAGATGAATAATATAACAAGGATCCTGGGAAGAAAAGAAAGGACACAACCTTTGAATTCGAGCAGAAATAATTTGGAATGTAATAAAATATCTGTTCTGATTAGTCTTGAATTATTGATCTTTCTAGATTTCACATTTGAATGCTGAATTTCTGCTATAAATTTTAACGCTAAAACAATCTGATTAACTGCAGTCCAGCTAGAATAACAGGATGTTAATATCAACCAGATCACCAAGAATTCAGTAAAATGGAAAATTTGACATTTTTAAACATTAATCACAGCAGTCATGTTTCAAATCAAGAAGTGATTAAAAAATCTGTATTTATGTTCATCCGATGCCAATTTATAGGGCTAATATAGACACCTTTTATCTCTGTCTGTACTAAATCAGCTTTTAAAAAAATCCAGGCTCTCCCATACATTATTTATATAAGATACTAATGAACTCAAGTTATTAAGTTATCAAATTATATTTTTTTCGTTTCGTCATAGAATATCTTTTTAATTTCAATTACAAACACACACACGGGTTTATATATATATATATAGAGAGAGAGAGAGAGAGAGAGAGAGAGAGAGAGAGATTAGAACCTGATTTGTTTGTATATAAGTTTAATAGCTGTTTAAGGTTGTTGCCAGAGATATCAAAGCTTTTTTTGAAAAAAAAAAATACTTCTTGAATTAGAAGAATCGGTCTAGAGTGAAGTATTGTAACAAAAGTGGACTAACTCCTGTGAATGTTACTAGCGTGGTTTACCGAATTTTTAAGCGAAATATTTCACTAGGATTTCAACCTGAACCTACAACGACCAGACTTCGCGATGTTTTCAACAGCACGTTGTCCCCAGTTTAAGGACGTTTCTTACCTCGAGCTCTTAGGCACAGACAGAGTTCCTATTACTCAAGCAATCGTAAATCAAGTATTAAACGTTATTCTCAGATACATATAGAGGCTCGTTCTTTAGGAATTCAGGTTAACATTGAAAACCACTTTTCCTTGCTCCTGCAATTCGTGTGACGTTAAAATGAAATAAATGTCATGAAAACAGGTGACATTTATTCTGATGAAAGAGATTTTTCCTGCCCTCATGGCAAATTGGCAAATTCAGAACTACATCAGGGAAAGTTTGTAGTAATTCTAAGTTGCGCAGTTTTAAATTACAAAGGATTTGATAACACTGATATTTTGACATTGATGAGGAATATGTTAAAGAGAAAAGAAAGTGCTACACAAAGAGAGAATGACAAACAGACGGATGACGGACAGACCCAAATTAAATATCCCTTACTTTAAGGTGATTCGAACCTGTCGTGAAAGTACTTGGAAAGTTAAAAGATAGGTACCTTCAGATAGAGGACAAGTTTGTGGTTTAGGAATCATCAAATTTGATGTAAGCTAATGCGTTTGTTTCCATGGCAACAACCTCTGAATATCCCCTTGTTTAAAAATGTAAAAGCTGTGAAAAAAATCTCATTGCCATTAAAGAAAATAACAGAAAACTCACTAATTATAATCAGAATTCATTTACTTGGAAACATATAATAGGGTAGCAGATCAACTTTATCTTCAAACAGCACTCTACGGCAGTCTGAATTTCCTCCGTCTTCTTCAAAATTACTCTTTTTTCTTAACCTTGACAACAAAAACGGTTATAAAACCGCACTAAAAGTAATTGGATATTTATTTTTTTTAAGTCCATTTTAAAAAGAGATGTATAGCTAAGTAACAAAGGAGAATAATTGGTATGTTCATGACTCAGAAAAAAAAGATATGCTAATCCGAATTTTCTCTGACTTTAAAAAAAAAATTACCCCGAAGCACATATATCTGCAACGGAGGCTATAAAATCAATCAAAAGTAATCAATTTTCAATTCAGTTAGTCAATTATGTTGAAAACAAACTTGAAATGAAATTTTTGAAGGACAATTAATGTAAAATTTCAGGAATTTTGAAATTTTACATTCCGAATTTCCATTTTTTTTCTTCAAAACTTAAACTTTCAAATTGATTGTTGGTGAATAAAACAAATCACCTAATATCATCATATATATATTTTTATGATTTTTAAAGATGATATACCTTATTTAGAAAATAAACCTGGCATATATACAGAGTTAAGGTGAAAAAAGTGCACATTACTCATCTGAATTTCCTGTTTGTTTGTTTTTTAAAATAACAAACCTATGTTGTACAATATTTGCCTAAATAAGAAAAAAAAATCCCTGTGACTAATATTTCCTTATATTCAAATTATGTGGAACATAATAATATGACATAAATTTCTGTAAATTAAGAATCTGACTGAAAGATTTACAATCCATATTTCTCTGTGTGAACACACAAAAAAAAATTAAGGTTTTAAAAAAAAAAAAAAAAAAAAGCCATGAGAAAAAAATGACAATATCAGTGCTAACTTTTGCAAGGTCTAACTGAAAATAGCATAAAAGGACACACCATATGGACAAAATAGACATTAGTATATAAGTATCTCAAAAGAGTATATAATTTATGCTGCAGTTCTGTTCATACAGAATGGTTTTTAATCTCAAGGGAGGTTCTGCACATTTTTTTTTTCATATTCCAATTAAACTAGCTTCTTTTATGTGATCTCTAACATGAATGTTTCTTTCTTTTTCTTTTTCTTTTTCCAATTTGAATTTTTTGACTTGCTGTGGCTATCAATTGGTAAATTCTGGTGAACATGTAGGTCTTTTGCAGCAGCTAGAGCAAACATTTCAGTCATGGATGGCAAGTGGTGGGGGAAAAAAACTAGATGTGTACCTTAACCTGAAAAAAAAATTCTTCAGGTATAGCCTTACTGACAGGTGGATAAAAATTATACATGTAATCATGTAACATCTGTTATAAAGTTACACAGTACTGAGTTATTGTTATTAAGGTCTTCCGTCTTCTACGGAAGACATTCTTGTTATTCTTACGCGGGTATGTTAAGGCTGCACTCAGATATCCTACTTGCCTACACAGTATGACGTCATAGTAAGTTGTATGACGTGAACTTTAGAGATAATGATTTTTTAATTTCTATATTTAAAGTTTAATTTCAGGTCCAAAAAGTAAATGGAATAATTTAAAAACATAATATAAACTAAATCTTGTCGTTTTTGGGTGGTATAAAAAGCTGAGTATTTATCACGGGGGTAAAATACCAAACCCATGACGTCAAAACTATTGATAAAATATTTGCTGAGTGAAAATTAAACGTGACGAGAATTCATGTCAACAAATATATGAAATGGGAGTTTAAAAGCATATACCGTGAATGTTATGTGTGATTCATAAGGAATTAAAGATTCAGAATCAAGTACACTGATTTATACTTATCATGTTTTCTTATAATGAACACAGGCAGTGTTTTAAAATCCCGAACAGCCTTTCCTCTGTCGTTCTATAACAACAAAGATGCAAAAGTTCAACACTACGCCGCATACTTTGAAACATAAATTTTGTTTGTATCGAAAGCTTGTATTGGAAAGTGCTGCTAGAATCGTGTGGTTAACATGAATTGATGACAATTCCTTGATCGTATGTTCAAATTGTGAAAATTTTGGTAAGGTTTCATGCGAAACTTTGGAATAATATTTTCTGTGTCGGGAGAGTAGGATTCTAGCAGCACTTTTCATGACCCTGGTGATGTTTTTACATAATTATTTTCACAAAAAGAATTGAATTATCCCCGGGGTAGTGTTGAACTTTTCACTTTTTCGTTAAGGCAATTTTTATATTTATAGACGTCACGTGATGACGTCGTAGTGGAGTGCTTCTTTCAGCCTGAGAATTCAATGACGTCTATACAATGGATAATAATAGTAAATGTTTAATCTATGGCTTTTCCAGTTTATCGATATTACATTTTACGAAAAAAGTCTAAATTTGCTGAAAAACGATCTGGGTACTGCCTTAATATACCTGCGTAGGTTTCTTTTTCACTTTTATTACTGTTTTTTTTTTTTTACCGATTTTGTGCACGCAATTTCTCGAAAACGGCTTGATGGATTTCCATGAAACTTTCAGGACTGATATAACATCACTTGAACCTTATAGGTTTTTTCCTGTTTTGATGACGTCACTTCCGGTCCGGAGATATTGTCGATTTAATGATTTTTTAAGGGTCTGGTTGTCCGGAAATTTTCTCATGAATGGCTCTAGACAGAATCATAAAATTTAAAGGTCTGATAGACCTATGTCTGCAGATATGCATAACGCATTTCACTTTTACCAGAAATGCCGCACGTCGACGCTCGCTATGGTAAAAAAAAAAGGCATATCGAAAATTTTAAAATTTTCAACGCTTTTTCTACAAAAGCTTTTTACTTGTAAATAATTTGTTAAAACATGTAGAACAAAATTTGTTCAAAACTACAAGATCTTTCATCCAATATCAACAAAAAGGGGCTGGCCCCCTAAAAAAGAGATCTAGAGGGGCCGAAAGTTTTTTCTCAGTATTTCAAAAACGAGCAAAAATTTGTGATACATTATTGAAGCAAAGTTGTTCAAAATAACAAGTGGCAGCTGGTGAAGTCATCAAAAGTCGTCTAATGACGTCACTTCCGGTAAAACCGGAAGTAAACAGAAAATGCATATTTTTGAAGTTTTGTACACGTTATTGCATGTTTTGAGTAATCGGAAGCGTCAAAACTCAAAAACTCGACGTCACTTCCGGTCAAACCGGAAGTAGTCAGAAAAGGCTTATTTTTGTAGGTATTGGCAGGGAATTGAATGGTTAAAGTCATTGGAGACGTCTGACTTTATTTTTTGTCAATCGACTTCACTTCCGGTCTAACCGGAAGTAGTAACCAGTGGCTTCTTTATACAAATATTTCCTTGTAAATGAATGATAAAAGTCCATGAAGACGTCTCACATCATTATAAGTCGAATGCTCTTCAGAACTGTTCTTTCTTACATACTAATTTGCATTTCTGCCCTTCATTTTATTCACTGAATTGGACGGAAGACCTGCTTGTTGCTCCAACAACGAGCTTTGCTCTAGTTTAAATAGTATAATTGTAATAAAAATAGTATTAAACAATTCTAATAAAAATAGTTTTAAACCTATGGAATGAATTAATGTTTACATTACACATGAATCTTGTTTACAAAATGTGTGCGAAGCTTCAGCATTCAATACAGTACGCCATAACAAGGATGAGGAGGTCAAAAGATTAAGTTATGATTTTTGTTTTTGTTGCCAGAAATGTTGATATTTATTTATTATTTATTCATACCCAGCCTGATGGTTTCAACATCAAGGTTAATATTTATCAGTACATCTGGATCAAAAGGAACAAACTGCCAAGACTTAATTAAGGTTGTACATTTTGACTGCTGATTGATAAGAAATCCAAGATAAGAATAAACCTAAAACTGCTTTCTCAACTCATATGGACTTATTTCAGTTTAAAGTAATGTCCTTTGGCATGTGTAATGCCATTAGTTGTTATGAGAGGTTAATTGAGTTAGTTCTTAGAGGTCTCAGATGGGAGAAATGTTTATTAGATGACATTATTGTGTTTGGAAGTAGTTTTGACCAAGCTTTGAAAAATCTTAAGCTAGTGTTTGATAGACTTGTGTCAGCAAATTTGACCTTGAAACCTTCAAAATATGTACTATTTCAGAGAGAAGTGTCATTTTTAGGCCATGTGGTGTCTGATAAAGGAATTCAGTGTGATCCTAGTAAAATTGACAAAGTTAAGAAATGGCCTGTTCCTAGTAATGTCACTGAGGTTAGAAGTTTCCTAGGTCTAGCTGGATATTATAGGAGGTTTATTCCTGAGTTTTCCACCTTTGCAGCCCTTTAACAAATTTGACAAGAAAAGGGAAGAAATTTTGTTGGACTTCTGATTGCCAGAAATCATTTGAGAAACTTAAGGAACTCTTTTGTTCAGCTCCTGTGTTAGCCATCCTGATGGTACCTCAAAGTTCATCTTAGGCACAGATGCTTGTTTGACAAGATTAGGTGCTGTTTTATCTCAAGTACAAAATGGTGAGAAGGTCATTGCTTATGCTAGTAGGACTTTGGATAAATCCCAAGTCAGATATTGTACCACTTATAAGGAGTTGTTGGCAGTAGTTACTTTCATTCGCCTGTATAGACATTTCTTTTGGGGTAGACATTTCACGGTTAGAACGGATCATGCTTCCCTTGTTTCGTTGAATAGTCCAGAAAGAATTTTGGCTAGATGGCTTTTAGTTTTGGAGACTTATGATTTTTCCATTCAACATAGGCCAGGGAAATTCCATTGTAATGCTGATAGTTTGTCAAGAAGGCCTTCCAATTATTGTAAGCGTGAGGATTGTCCTGATTGTCATTTGAGGAATTGTGTGGATTCTGGTGGTCGAACAGGTGCACCGCAGCAAACGGACATCATATTACTGTCCTGGGCCTCTAAGATTGCTCCTGTGGGAACCGACCAATGGTTCAACTCGGCGGAGTCAGGGTCCCACAATTCTGTTGATGACAATGGTGATGATAGTTGTGATGTTGTATCTAATTGGTTGGATACTTGGTCAGTTGATAACTTGGCAACAAGGAGAACCTGCTACTCAGCAAATAATTAGATTAAAGGAAAGTTGCATTGTTAAACCTCCTAGGCATGTTGTTTTGGATGCTTCTACTGACTTGAAAACATTTTGGGGATTATGGGAATCTCTAGAAGTCAAAGAAAGCATGTTGTATTACAAGTGGAAGTCATTAGTTGATAAGGAGACTTTGTTGTTGATTGCTCCTAGACACATTAGATCTCAGATATTTCATGAACTTCATGAGAATAAAACTGCTGGTCACTTCGGTAGAGAACGTACCATTAAATCCTTTAAGCGTAGGGTATATTGGCCTGGTATGTCTTCAGACATTAAACGTTGGTGTAAAGAGTGTGATGTTTGTGCCAGAGCAAAAGTTGGTCCAGGTCTTGGGAAGTTATCTCTTCATCAATCAGTTATAGGTGCTCCTTAAGATAGGTTAGGAGTTGATATTTTAGGCCCTTTGCCCAGAACAAGTAATGGTAATGAGTATATCATAGTTCTCTGTGATTATTTTTCTAAGTGGGCTGGAATTTATGCAGTACCTAATCACACAGCTTTGACAGTAGCAGATAAGATAGTTAATGAATTTATCTGTAGATTTGGTGTCCCTAAACAGATTCACTCAGACCAAGGCCTAACAAAAATTAACTATAGTTAACTATAGTGAAAACTTTGATACTTTGATTTACTATGAAACTTTACTCTGGAACTTTTTTTGAGATTTCAAAACTTAAAATCTCTTAAATTCGATAATAGTAATGTAAAAATTGGAAATATGTGAATATACAAATAATATTTCACTTTAATATAAAAAATGTGCATTTATGAATTAAAGAACAAAAAATATAACGATCTGAAATCGATAGTAAAAATACTTTGATTTACTATAGTGAAAAAACTTTGATACTATAGTAAACTATAGTACTTTTTCGTTAAGAAGGTCGCAAGTTCGAGTCGGAATTATTTTCTATTTTATGTGAGAAGTTAGGCATTGAAAAGACACACACCACTCCATATAGGCCACAGTCAGATGGTTTAATTGAGAGGATGAATAGGACACTTTTACAAATGTTATCAACTTATATTAATAAATATAGGGATAATTGGGATGACAATATACCTTTGTCTTTATGGCATATAGGTCAACCATTCAAGAAAGTACAGGTTGCTCACCAAATTTAATTATGGTTTGCCATGAAATTATGAGCACAGTTGATCTTATGTTAGGGAATCCTTCTCCTCACTTATTCCTACTTGCCCTGTAGAATATGTAGAGTGGTGAAGAATAGGTTTAGCTGATTCTTACAATTTTGTGTCTGAAAATCTTAGACAGGCAGCATCAAAACAGAAGAAATACTATGATAAGGGATTAAAACCTAGAGAGTTTTCAGAAAATGACTTTGTCTGGAGGTGCTATCCACCCTCAGCTGGTGTTAAGTTAGGGTAAGGATGGATAGGGCCATACAAAGTTATTAACAAGATCACAGATGTAACATATCAAGTTCAGAAAGACCCTAAAAGCCCTCTCATTGTGGTACATGTAGTTCAATTAAAACCCTATGAAGGCATTTTACCTCCTAGAAACTGGACACCAGTAGTTACATTGTACTTCCCTTGACGAGTCATTAGAACCCCCTGTAGATAGATTTTAATGTTCAACAGGAAGTTGTAGAAACTGTAATTCCCCCCCGTTTTTAATATACCTAGTCCTGAACCCCTTAGACAGTCAAGGTGGGGTAGAACAATCAAACCCCCAGCTCTCTATTCTCCTTGAGACCAGGCACCTAGGCATTTTATTTTATTATTTTTGTTAAAGCCTATGTGTATAGTAATTTTTATTTTTGAATTCTCTCTCTCTCTCTCTCTATATATATATATTACATGATATATAAAAAGTTTGAGTTGACCCTTTGTAGTGATGACAAGTGATATTGAATTTTTGAAATATCTCAGTCTAGTTAAAGTATTTCTTATTAATGATTTAGTTTTCGGTAGTCATTTTTTTTGAGAATAACATTCAAGCTAGCACTGTATTTGACTTTAGTGGATACAAGGTCAATGCTAGATGTTTTATTTTTTAATAAGACACAGTAGTTGGCAATGATTTAAAGTTATCTAGAAGTCAAAACAGTATATTTCAGATCTTTCGGTTTATTCAGCAACAGTAATAATAGATATGAATCAATGAGAGCTTATATTCTAGATTAATACTGACCGTAGATGATCTGTAAATTATCTCCCTTGTACTGTACTGAAATCAACACTCAAGTTTTTCATAGTAATCTATGAAAGGTGATGCATAGGTCATCTCTTGTTTTGGTTACGTTATAAATATTTTGCATGCACTACTTGATAACATTTTAGTTTTAATTCAGTGGATTCTGAATTTGATAGACAACTATATTGATTAACTTTCCATATATTCAGATATTATTTAAAGTCTTAGAAATTTAAGATTTTAATTTTAAAAAGTTATTTTCTTAGAGATATGACTCCAGAACTTTCATTGATGGTAAATAATTTGATTTAATACTTTTCTAATTATTGTTTTACAATGTTTTCACATTTATTAGGTGGAAGTTCTTGATTTAACTGTTCTTGAGGAGGAGATGGAGGAACTTGTTGGGCAGGAGTGGCCAAATGAGGGCCAGCAATGTCCAGTGGAGAATTGCAAATCTAGACCGCATAGATTTCAGAGAATTGGATCCTTCCGGACCCATAACTTCCATACACCCAAGATTCTGGTATACTATTGTATTGTTCGGTCACCTCATTTAAAATGAACATGTTAAAGCAGCAGATACGTAAAAAACACAGAGGTCTGCATGGATGCTACCTGAAGAAGATCATCGCGAATCTAAGATTCTGTGATCCTTGGAGCATTGGCATGCCACTTCCACCTGTACATCAGGAAGCACGGGAAGAAGCTGCAAAGATACGCCACGCCTTGCCTCTGGAACCCCTATCTCACCTTTCAGACTCCTATAATGCTCGAGATTAGAAGCCACAGTTCTACTGACATTATTCATGATTTTCTTCACTTAGATGTATACTGAAACAAAAATTTATTGTAATTTTGTTTTTTTTAAGGGGGGGGGGGGAGGAATTGGTTTAGATTTTTATTTCATAGTCCTCGTTTCGTAAATTATACATTATTTTAGAAGTATTTGGTGATATTTCAGTCTGATAGTTCTATTTACCTTATGTTTTCCGTTGTTACTTACGTAAAACCCCTTTACTATTTGCCTGTTATAAGTTAGGACATGCGTTGACATTCCACGTTTTACTTTTTAAACAGGAAGTGTCATCCATGTTGGGAGTCTTTCCATAGTACGTTTGGTAGCTGTGTTCTGATTGGTTAAGTTAGTTGTAGGATCTTTGATATTTTTGGCTTTTATTTTTGGGCCTAGCTAGGGTATTTAAAGCCGTGTTCGTGTAGTTTTCTTCACTTGGGTTGGGGAACACAGCCTCATGGTTAGTTCCTCTCTACTGTGCTAAGAAAATCTCATGGTTTATGAGCACTATTTGATTAGTACCCTAGAGTGCTAAGAAAACCTCATGGTTTAACAGTACTGTAGGTCTTAGCTAGCTTTAGTTTCACGTTTTTCACAAGTTCTAGGTTTTTGTTAGGAAACAGTTAGGATGTAGGTTTAATAGAATAAATATATTTTCCCCTTTTCCAAGTCCAGCCAGGTCTAGGATTTGTAGATAACAGGATAATTTCTAGAACCACTATTTATTATTTATTTTTGGTGTTGTTTATTTTCTGGGTTAGATATTTTTAGAGTCCAGATTAAGCATTATTATTTTAAGTTCAACTCTAGAGTGTTGATTAGTAGAGTTCATATTGGGTGATGTTGCTCATTTCCCTTACATTTTTCCAACTCATTGACATCTGTACCATTTTTTATAGGATTTTTGACCTTTTTTTTATAAGTATGGAAGGTCAGTAGGGACATATATTATTTTCATAGGTTTTTCACATTCCTCCCTTTATTCTTGGTTAAATTTTGACTATTATTTATTATTTGTTATCATTTGCAAAGGTTAATTCTCACTTTATTAAATTCATAAAACTTACAACTGTGTTTTCATTTAGCGTTGATCATAGTTCAGAAATCCCCTTACCTGGGTTGACAGACATAACTGGAGATAGTTTACTGCTTTAAGCCAAGTAGGCTAGTAACTTTGTTAATTTATTCATTTAAGAGTTCTACTACCGGTTACAGTTTAAATAAGCCTACCTAAAACGTGTATGAGTTGCTGTGCTCGCCCTTACGGTCGCATGTTAAGTACTTTGAGTCAAATGGACAACGGGCAACTTACTATCGAATAAGCTCTTCTGGTAATTCACAAGTAGAGCTAAACACATTGAATTGTTGATTTAAAGATAGAAAGTGCAAACCATGCCAGGTAATTTCAGACTGTACAACTCAGAAGATGAAAAAAACAATCTTTCAACCTGCACACAACTTTTCACCGCCGATATATGGCTGAAATATTACAGACTCGGCGTTGAACAATATCAATCAATCAGAAGATTAAGGATTTAAATATTGTTTAAAGTTAAAAGTTCTTGGCACCAACATACCTTGGCTTAATGTCCAGTTATATACCCTAAAAAATATGACAGTCTAGTTAATGATTCGAGACGATCTGTGACCGAAATTCTTGAAGACTCGGTGGTTGTGTGTGAAATTTGAATTTCGGTCTTAAAACATTACGGCGCTAAAATCGAGTCTTTCAGATGATCGTGTTAACAAAATAACATTTGCACAGTACACTTACACTTGGAAGCAATTGAAAGTTGCACTACTATCACTTTTCATCACAAAAAGTGATACAAAAAAGATAAGAAAAAAATCTGTTGTTTTCGATAAAGGACTGTAACTCTTTTTCATGAATAGTAGATGAAAAAGACATTGTTGTAAATCCACAGACACCTGAAGTTTAGAAAACTGTCTCTTCATAACCCAGCAACCCCCCCCCCCCCTCCGGGTACATGGGTAACATGTTGTGTTAACGTTGAATATAAAAAAATAGCAATTCTTTAAAAAAATTAAAATGACACTTAAGTACCTTTAAATAACGCAACACAGTATGTTATTCAGAGTAAAATGATATGGCTATTAATGTAACAGTACTCCCAGCAAGTGAAATCTTCAGAGCTTCACAAAACACGGATATATTAAATAGATAATTTATTCAAATTAATAAGGCAGTGGCTCCCTTGGATCTATAAGCCCATTAAGATCACAGCTTTTTATTGCACTAGAAGAGGCCAAAAAAGAATAGCAAGTTTTTACAGGGGAGACTTTACATGACTGTCCCACATTCAGGTGTAAATCTAGAGAGCCCTTGTAATTAAGTATCCCACCCGAGAACATTGCTTGCAACACTGATAAGTTTGATGATGTTTTGAACCTGTACAATTATTTACACGATAATACTGTGGCTGTCAGATCTTGTTAGTTGTCAGAAAATTCTTAAGTCGATGAAATCTTGGACCTTACTCCTGGAATTAACATGTACCAAATCGACAAATCACGCAAGACCGCATATTTGTGTGATCCTGTTGGGAAGGCACCTAGAGATGAAAGTTATTTATGTACAAACAAAGGATGAACAAAGTAAAACTGGCTCATGTCGTTGAGTTTTTTAGTGATCCATGTTATACACAATAAAATATGAAGATAACGAACATTACTCAATCTGAAACTATACAAATTTGGAGCAGAGCAAACACGGGCCTCAACATTTGGAGGTGGTATCAGGTGCCATGGAGGAGTGAGCATCCCCTGCCGATCGGTCACACCCGGCGTGTGCTCATTATCATCATCGGGGGAAAAACGGAAAAATCCGTAGAGGGTTCAGTGTATAAATAATGGCCTAACAATTAATAATGATCAAGATGTGTTTGTGAAACACTGTGCCCCCGATGGTAGCACAAATCTGGAGTGGGACGTAGACTACAGTGCAATAGTTATGGCCAATGTTAAAGTTTTTCAAATGTAGGCCAAAGGTCATAGTTGAGGACACATGATCAAAAATTTCTGTACCAATGGAAAGGTCTTGTCATAATGAACACTCGTGTCAAATATTAAAGCCTTACCCTTGACAGTTGATAGTTATGGGCTAGGTTAAAGTTGACGACAACAGACAGACAGACAAACAGGACAAAAACAATATACCCCCGGGATCTTTCGATCCAGTTGCATAAAAACGCCAGTCAGCATTTGACTTAATGATAAGTTGTATGTGGTGACAAGGTCATTGTATCGACCATTAAACTTACAAAATGGTGACTTCAAACGAGACTGTTGATACACAGGCACTTGTTTCGTATACGGGGCACCCCTACTTATTTTTACCACAAGGTACCTAACTCAATTTCAGGCACCCCCGCTTCAAACTCGTATTTTGTTTATATATTAATCATTAACCTACTTTAAGATGACATCGTTCGCTTCGAAAGACTTTTTTCTTGTCAAATTAATCGTTTCGGACGTCTCTGGTCGAGCCTCTTTTTTGTAAACCACTCATTTCTTCCTCAAAAATTATCTCGATACAAAATAAGACTACGGATCGGATACATTAACTTCCGGTTGGGTTATAAATGAAGGATAAAACCAGAGACCTCGGAAAGGAATTCTCGTAAGTCTCTGGATTTATCCTACATTTATAACCCAACCGGAAGTTAATGTATTCGATCCGTAGTCTTATTTTGTATCGAGATAATTTTTGAGGAAGAAATGAGTGGTTTACAAAAAAGAGGCTCGACCAGAGACGTCCGAAACGATTAATTTGACAAGAAAAAAGTCTTTCGAAGCGAACGATGTCATTTTAAAGTAGGTTAATGATTAATATATAAACAAAATACGAGTTTGAAGCGGGGGTGCCTGAAATTGAGTTAGGTACCTTGTGGTAAAAATAAGTAGGGGTGCCCCGTATACGAAACAAGTGCCCGTGTGTTGATATCCTTGTTTCATCAACTTGTTTGTCACAATTATTCTGTAGTTTCCTTTGAAACTAAAGAAATTAATTAGAATCTGAAGAAGTTGTTACAATACCATATGTAATTAGAACTGTTAAAATTCTTCCGTTATGTAATGTGTACAGTGTCTAGTTTTGTTTTGTTTGTTACACTCTTGAAGAACTGTTTACAATATTTAAAGCTTTTGTGGCTCTAACAACTGTGAAGTGGAAGGCTACACTATGAAATATCCCAGGGCAAAGTGTCTAAATGTAGGTCAATTTACCTATACAAGTGCCTCACCCCTTCAGGGTCCTTGGAGGCAGTAGCATGAATTTACAATTTATGTTCCCTCTTAACCCATAGATGCTAAAAATCAAAATATGTTGGAATTAGCTAGGCTGTTTCAGCGAAGTTTAAAATCAGGAAGGACGAAAACAAGATGGCAATAGGTCACTTGAGTGATTCAGGTGACCTAATAATGCTGATTACATTACATAATTGGACACATCGATTCTTGGACTGTTAAAAAAATTATTGTGTTATCGTTTCACACTTGCGAACTCTGACCTCTGTTGACAAAACATCTGTGATGTATTTCATAACGCAGGCCCGTAGCAACGGTTTAAAAGGGGGGGGGGGCCAACTTCCCCAAAAAAATCTGACAAGCAAAAAAAAAGTTATTTTACTGTCCAAATCCTGCAATTTGCCAGTGCTCGACTTTACAACATCAAAAAGTGGGGGGGGGGGGGGCAACCTGCAACTAAAATCTTTTAAAATCTTTTTTGTGAAGAACAGCACGGGAATGAT